CTGGAACCGCCAGCAGACGTGGCTGTGCGTGGTGCCGCTGTTCATCGGCTTCGTGGGCTTGGGGCTCAGCCTGATGTTGCTCAAGTGGATCGTGGTGGGCTCCGTCAAGGAGTACGTGCCCACCGAGCTGATGGATTCCAAAGGGATCGAGCAGGACCCGTTCTTCCTCTCCAAGCAGCCCACCACGCCGCCTAAGAGCATGGACACCACCACCACGTCGAGCACCACCACCACGTCGAGGACCCCCAATCGGATCAGTACCCGCATTACCACGATGACCAAGGCGCCCACCCGCTTCCCGGGCACCCGGGGGCGCGAGTCGGGGCCGCGATCCACCACGGCGCGCCACACGGTCGCCCCACCGACCCTCCTGGCCGCCGCCACCACCACCACCGCCGCCCCTTCCAGCACCACCTTCCTGATCTCCCGCCCGGCGCCCGGCGCCCCGGGGACCCAGCCCCTGCCCATCTGGCCCACTGCGGCATACACTACCTCCTCCTACAAGACCTATCTTCAGGACTCGGCGCCCTCCTGGACCTTATCCCCCTTCCAAGAGGCCAGCACGACCACCACCGCCACGCCAGAGGCCAACACTAGCCCCAAACACCGTGAGTGACAAANNCTGAGCCCCTGGGCTTGTTGGCGACGCTTGCTTTGTGTGTGAGAGAGGTCTGGTCGTGGCGCGCGTTTGGAGCTTGAGGGGGTCCACCTTGTGAGGGCCCTTGGAGGCAATGCCCCCCGGACTCGAGCCGTTTTCCTTGGAAGTTTGGTGTGGTCCCCGTCCCCTCTCCCCTCTCCAAGAGGGGAACCCCTTTCCTTCTTTTGTGGCCACCTTGTGAGGATGGTGGAGGTGCAACCCTTCGAGCAGCCACTGGAGGTGGCCTTCATTCGCTAGAGAAGGCAGAGCAACCAGCCCGCCCCGCTCCCAAACTCCCACTTTCTCGCTTTTACCCGTTGCCCTCCAGTAGGACCACAAACGACGTGTTCTGGAAATGGCCAAGGCAGAGGAATGTGTCGGGTTAATAGGCGGTGTGGGGGAGTCGTTTGTATGGTCTGGTATTCTTCTCAAAAGACACTGGTTGGCCTCAGCAGGCAGGCGTCCCCGCAAAACAAAACACTGACCTTGGTTCTGTGGGCTGGAGGGAGATGAGAGGGAAGTTGAAATGGGTTGGGAAGGCGTGCGGTGGTCTGGAGCCTTGGCTTAGGACATTTGGACAAAGGGTGTATGTTGATGGGGTCGTGCCTTCCTTTCCCATAGAAGCCCCACCGGCTCCCACTCTTTTTACTCCAGAAATACTCCCCAGCACTCAAACTGGGATCCTCGGCCCCTTCCCATGGACCCTGCACCTTTTCAAAAGCCCTGTCTGTTCCCTTTTGGGAGGTGGGAGGAGAGAGCCCTCCCCACCATCAGATGCAGCCGCATGGCGAAGTCGCCTTCCCTTGCCTTCCTTTCTCTTCCTAAGAGGTGGCTATCAGCTTCAGTCGCGTCAAAGGAGCGCATCAATGGAGTAATGTAGATTCCTAGGAATGTGGGCGGATGGGTGGGTATCCTTTCTTTAATGGTGGTGGTGGGGAAGCTACCCTCTCGATACCCGGCACTGATGATCCCTTCCCAACCCCTTTGGACTCTACCTTGGTGCTCCTCTCGTTTTAAAATGAGTTGTGCTGGGTACAGTCTCCTCTGAAGGTTATCTAGGACAAACATCATCTCTCTGCCAAGCCAACTTCTGGATGCTGCTATTTATGCACAAGGATCAACCGCCCCTGTGTGTTTACATGGCTTGATATCCTTCCCCTCCGTACGGTGTAGGAAGCTGGGGATCTGAGCTCCTGCGTGGATTATTTCCACTTTAGGACGTGTGAATCAGATGGAAAGGTACCATCTGAAGCAATCCTATGGCCCTGTGCCTCCCTCCCCCCCTTTGCATGCTAATCTCTTGGCATGGCTGATGTTAGTTGTCTGTTTCCTCCCTCTCCCTCTCTCTACCTTAAGCCTGCATTGAAAGCGCTGGGCTTCTCCTAACCTGGGACGAAGAACAATAGTGCACAAGGAAAGAAGGGTGGGTTGGAGGCAAAGCAGGGGCGTGGCGGGGGGGGGCACCAACCGAGGGACTCAAATGGAAAGGGCCAGTGCAAGGCAATGTAGTGCACTAGGAGTGGCAATGCCTGAGAAATAATACGATCCCCAGCCAGGGACCACGAGGCTCCTGAGAAGGCTGTGAGGTGCATTTACTGGGTGCCTCTTTTTATGTGATCAAAGAAAGAAGCTGGCAGGCGGGGTGGGGGAGCCTCTACAGATGTCCCTTTCTTTCCAGAGAGAAAAGCTGCAACTGAAACACACTAACACCTTTCCCATTGCCTTCTCTACTTTGCCCCCTCCTCTTTCCACTGTCCGCTCCCCCCCCCACTCTGCTGCCTTTGCATTTAAAGCTCCTCCAAATAGGAATATCTGCCATTTCCCAGTGGCATCGGTTGGGTGTCATGGCTGTACCCAGGGAAGCTGGGCAGCCGGGACATTGTGAAACTGAGAGATTCCGAAAGGACAGGATAATGCCTAACGGCAGCCTACCTCTCCATTCAGTCTCTCTCTCCGCACCCCCACCCCCTACGCCGGGCTTATGGTCTGTAAGGAGACCAGGAAATCCACTGTGGTTTTTCTAACCTTCCATGCTGATTTCTTAGATTATAGAACCTGCTTAATCCATTACTGTCAGCTGGCAGGATCTGCTCCGTACCCTATACCAGCTCATTCTCCCTCCCTCCTTCCCCTACAGCATGACATATGGGATCACGGACTGTTTATAGTTGCAAGCAAAGCCTCCCTCCAGATCTTTTTAATATACCTACTTAAACCAGAGGTTAGATGAGGGTGTTCCCTTCCTAGTCTCTGGCAGCTTCTTTCTCCTGCATCCCCAGTGCCCCGGCTTTTCTGAAACGCAACATATAAAGCAGCAGAAATCCACCAGACCCTATTTGAGCACACTGATAGCTTGTGATTATCATTAACAGGAGATTAAATAGATTACATAAAAAGGGATTGGAATTTACAGGGCATGTGGAATTCCTCTCCTCTCTCCCACCCTCAAGCTGCACAATTTTCTGATGCACATAATCTTTCTACCAGGTTAACGCATGAGCAGAGCAGAGAAGTGAGATTGTAATCTTTCTTTTGCCGATGGTTGACATCAGGTTTTTCAACCTCCTGACCTGGTATCTGCATTTTCCATTCACTTTGGTCTTTGATGTCTTTTTTTTTTTTAAGGCTATTTGTCAGATGGGGAGGAGGAAAGATGAAAGAAATACATATTCTAGAATCCTTTGGGGGGCCACACTTGGCTGCTTATTCCTGCTCATCCATGACTCTTGCTGTTATTAATAAATTTAAAAAATTAAGCAGTTCCAGCACTATTGAGGAAATATGAATATAGATGTGACAAGGCTTGGTGCCTCATCAGAACAGGTTCCCATGCAGTCTTCTGGACTAGAAAGGCACATAAACCAAAGACCCAGATATACCATCTCTGTATAATTGCCAATTTTTAGACAATGTAGTTCTGTGAAGAGGTGAGGCACATAAAACTTGGCAAAATTCTCCCCACTTTTACACACTACTATTCCCAGGATATCTAGGGGAATCCATAATAATTCCAAACATTTTTTAAGGTAGAGGTTTTGCACTGCAGTCCTGTCGGTCTCTTTGTTGTATTTGGAAGATTGCATCATATTGACTACAAGATGATGATTTAGACCTTGGCTAGTGAGTTGGAGAAAGACATCTTTAATGAGTTTGGTCACAGGTGAAATGCTTGGGTGACTAAACTCATTGGTGAGAGATCTTCAGCTTCTCCCTTCCCGATATTTTGGAATTTAATTCCTAGAAGCCCCAGCAAGCATGGCCAATATTAAGGGTTCATTGAAGTTGCATTCTAAAACATCTGGAGGTTTCAGTGTTTTCCCACCTCTGCTCTAACAGGTGTTCTCAAAAATGGAAAACCATTCATTCAGAGTTATCCGCTCGTACCACTAGCCAACATAACCACTGTTCAATGGTCCTCCTTAGAGCTCATTCAGAATTCTGTTCAGGTATATTTCTCTAGCTCATTGTTTACAGCAAAGTTTCTGAAATTGGGCCTCTGCAAAACATAGGAAACATCATGTTTGGATGATGCCTTCCCAGGGTTCTCCATCAACATATGGCATTCTCATTCCACAAAAGTTACTTTTCCAATCTTAGCATATCTCATGCATAAAGAGAGAAAAAGTGTTGGGGACAAGAACAAATGAGTGGATTCTTGACAACAACTGAAATGTGGAATGAAATGGAAACACAGCAACAAAAATGTGGGGGTAAGAAGGACAGTAGCGACACCTGCCTTGGTTATGAACTGGAATGGGCCCAATATTTCTTTCAAAAATTTGAATTGTTGGTTAGTTTGATAATATTAATATCAATTCATCCTGTTCAAGAACTTAATCAAAGACAACAGGATTGGCAGATCAACTTCTCATTGGATCTACACTTGCAGCCTAACACAGAAAACTCTGTTAAAACTTTGGCTGAAATCCCGTAGTAAGCCACAGTTTTTGGATTTCACACTGGTACTAGCATGACGAAGTGGTCTTGATACACGAAAGTTCTATTGTATGTATGACATTGTTTTAGTAGTCCATAAATATATTGCCTACCCCTGCATTTCAATGCTGCAGGCATCAAACATTGGACTGGAACATCCAGCAAGGTTTTTATATTGGACCAATGACACATTGGCAGTTCAGGATCCACTGTTGCCAATTTAAGATGTGCGGAGGTCCACCCTTAAGGATTTTGCTTCCTAAAGCAAAGGGCAAGATGGTACCTCACCCCAGCAGTGTCATGTAGAAAAGCTGGCAGTTTAATCTCCTTCCAACACAGTAGGCAGGGCAGCATCCTTCAGTACACCTGAGGACACTTGGTAGCTTTTGGGGAGGGGTGCAGAGTAAATTAAGTGACAGATATACCTTTATTCATTCGGCACTCTTTAGTATCTCCATCCTGAGAAGGTTGCCTCACTCTAACTCTTGGTAGGCTCACCACTGTATGCGGGGGGGGGGAGCATTATAAAGTTGGAAAGCTGTCCCAGTTCTACAACTGGCTACATATGGCAATAGAAAACTGAGTAATCCAATAGAACAGGTGCCAATGCGTTGTCCTCTCTAGAGCAGAAAGGAGAGAAGCTATGAAAACAGAACTTGATCCTTTAAAGGGAGCTTTGGTAAAGCTAAGCAAAGGGCTGCTGATTGCTACTGGAAGTTACAAAATATTAATTAAAAGAGAGAATGCCCTTTCCACATTCAACCGTGGTGAATAGCTGCTAATGTAACCTGAAGTGGTTCTCCACCCTCTATTTGGGGCATGCTTTTCTAGTGCTGAAAACGTTGATGACATCAACAAATTGATTGATTGGATTTGTGCATAGTTGAGGATTCAGAACTGATAATTGGATTTATATTAGAAGTAACTTTTTTGGTCAATGCTATTGGTAGGGGCACACATTCCTCTGCATGCCGCGTTATGTGTGGTAGATGGTTTCCCAACTACCTGCCTTGTGTTATTTAGTGGAAAAAAAGGGTAATCTGCTCTCAGTTCCTCAGAATACACCTTGTTGATATAATGCAGTATTCATTGTGTTAATGACACTTTTTAATCAGACACGTTCAAAGCAGGCAACAGACTTAGGGAACAAATTTAGGCTTATTTATTTTTCTTCCTTTCGATATTTTTGGTTCTTTAGCAACTTCGTTGCTATGTAAAGCTGAAATGTTACACTAGCTCTCCTGCACAAATTCAACAGCATAGCGAAATTGCTTCCTCTTGTACAGATTGATGGCCTAGCAGAGAAACAAGGAACAGTGAATGCTGGTGCACATAATGCAGAAGAGCCAAAATAGAGTGATGTTCCAGAAATCATAATCAATACCCTTTTGAGAAATGTAACAGAGAGCTCTTTCTATCAGCATGTGCTTCTACCCAGGATTCCTTTAATGTCCCTTTAGTTCTCATTCAGAAATATAAAGCTTACCTACGGTAATCAATAATGCACAGCTAGTACATACACGTCATCATGATGAGAAAGATATGTGTGGGACGAGGGCCAGTGAACTGCAGGGATATATAGGTAATGCTCTAGGAAGTGCACACACAGACAGAAAGCCCTGCCTTGCCTAAGATTCCTGTCAGTGAAGACTGAACCATGACTGATAGGGAGACTCCAGGTGTGATGATTTACCTTCAGCACACTGTCACCAGCAGTAGCAAACAGTAAATGGTTTCCCCATTATTAGTGGGAGAGAGCATACGAGTGCACTTAGGGACACAATTGAAGTGGGGCTAAATTAATCCTCTTTACGGTCCTGGGAAGCCCAGCAGTAGACAAGGTTGCACCTCATTTTATCTGTTTATTTAACTTCATGCAACTGTGTCCTCAGTCAAAGCTGATTTGCTTCCGTCATAGAATTGTATTGGCTCTTGCCTTTCCATTGGACCATTTCAGCAATGTGGAGAGGGGGGATCTGCTGCTTGGGTAACAGCCTATCCTCCATATTACCTTACCCAGGCTTCATGCTCTGGAGAGGACACTCCTCGTTTCAGAGCATGTTACCATAGTCTCTCGAGACTGAAGGATGCCTATGCGTATGCGTAGAATTAATTGAGAACCACTTAAAATGAAGAGACCCCGTTACCACAGTCACACCCTTTTTCTATTGTGTTTTTGCCATCTGTTCTTTTTTCTCGTGACGATACCTGTGTGTATGATGGAACCTCAGAAACATGTGTGATGTGGTATTGAAAGGTGAAAAGAGTGACAAGTGAGGTACTGTTGGAATCTGACTATTATAACTGGAAACAACAACAATAATGATAATGACCAAAATCCTGTTGAGTGTTTACATTGGCTTAACACAGTTGGCTAAATCTCATTGGTGAATTGTGGTAGTTTAAGAACTGTGCACAACAGCATATACCTATGCTGAGTGCTAAACTTGCCACAATTCACCATCAAGATTTATGCCAATTGCATTATACTGTTGAGCAAAACAGAAGATTTTGGTCAAGCTAATGACTGTAATAATAATAGTAACTCTTGCATTACTAGTAGTACTACCGTACTAGTTGTTATTGTTATTTTAAAATTCCAGTTCATATAAAAATGGGGGATAATTCTAACATGCACACATGGAAAATAATACTTCTTGGGGTCAACACACACATTACGGTAAGTCTATTAACTTTAATAATACAAATTGTGTCCTGTCTTTCTAACTTTCTAACCATAAATTCTAACATGGTGATTCCTTCAAGGCAGAGAATGCTAGAGTTTTCTATTCCCTTCTTCTGTGTGCCCCCTTGGACTGTTGACCATAGGTACACTGGTTGACTCTTCTCACAGGGAATCAACTGCTCTGCAGCCAAATACCTAAACTATTGAACTATCTGGACAGCTCCCTATTCTCTCTGCAGCCCAAATAACAGTCAAAATCTTGTTGCTTAGCATATTAAATTGTTTTACGGTAGGCCCATTGAATCAATGGGGATTTGGTGAATCATCTTTTCTGAAAGATCCATTAATTCAAATGGGCCTGCTCTAACTGTGACATACTGTACTTAAAAAAGCCTTATAGTACACTCATTTGAAACAGTGGAACCTATGGAAGAGCTGACAGACCAAATCACAATTGATTCAATGGGCCTACTCTAGAGCGATTAAAAATGTTAAGCAACAGGATTTTGACCAACACTACCCAGTTTCTGTGACATATTATTAGGTCTGATCAATATGCAAACTGAGTCAATGCATTTGTTTAATTAGGTTAGCTCTTGAGAAGAATGATTAAAAATTTTAGCAAGGATTCGTTGTTGTTGTTTTGATGAATTATGCATGCATGCTTTATCTCTACCCCAAAAATTCACATAGCAGCTAATAAACAAAACAATAAAATGAACAAACTGTTAGAAACAACCACCAACATCCTTTTACATATTGCACTCAAGTTTGAATTGTGCTGATCCACCACAGAAATTACGCAATGAAATCCTTTCCTTTAAAAATGATCCACACATCAACACCTATAGCAAAGGAGGGGGGGGGAATCAAGCCAAAATCAAACAATGTAACTTAGTCTACTTTCATAGTAATTGGGTTATTAGTCTCGGGACAGCTCATGGCCCTGCAGGGCTCACACAGTGTACTCCCTTCCTGATTCTAGTCATAAGTTGCCTATTAATTAATTGGAGGTGTCAAAGATCAAATCTGAATCCCTAAAGAAGCACACTACCCACTGAGCTGAGTTTCCTTATATAACATCTTACTGGTTTATTATTTGTGCAGCATTGCTATGTTATCTAAAACCTATCAGCATATCTTAAGAGCCCCTGTGTCATTCTGATGATAACAATCAAAAGCTCAGCATGGTCAGGGGATGGAGGAAAACAGAGGAAATGATAACACAATACGCTAGAAACAGTATGCTATTTCAGAAAGGAACAGAAATGTCAGCTCTGATTTAATATATGCTGCTTGTTGAGATGTAATTTTCAGAGTTTATTCTTGATCTTTTCCCCTTTCTCTTTAATTGTGGACTTCCAACATGGCTCTGAAATGCTGCACTTGTACATGATGTACAAAACGGCATAGTCACTGCCTAAGGGAGGTAACCTCAATCTTATTTCCATCAATCAGAACAGGAACAATTATGGACTATCTCACAGGACTGTTGTGAACTGGACATAGATAAGAGCGTTTTATCTTGTGAACTCTTATTTTTCCACAATGCATATAGGAGGAAATAGCTCAAAGCATTCTAGGATCTAATCTGTTTATGCATTCCTGTTTATAGCCAGTGAGTTTGTTCCACTCCAAGGGTGGAAACAGGACTGCAAGCACAAATTGAAAAGCTATGTGCCTCCACATGCTCATGTCCCAGAAGCTGATGCTCTTACTTTGCTGAAAGTCAGTAGGACAGGAGATGTTCAGTGACTAGATGGAAGCCCACTTTTAAATCCACTGTCTTGAATTTCATGGTGGAGGAGTGGTAGTATATAATAATAGAAGATATTATTTCATGGTGGAGGAAAGGAAGAATCTCTCCGAGTAGGGTAGTTGAGGCCTGGTCTCCTCTGGAAAACTGTCCACTGCCCTTTTCTTTGTTGAATGCAACAGCAGAGAAGCAGCCAATGCACTTCGGCATAGTTTACCAGTGCTGTAAATTGTATTGGCAGCAGCACCCTCTTAATCGAGGGAGGTGTGTATGTTCCAATGCTTCTCTGTTGCCTTTCATGGCTTATGTGAGAATTTTATTCTGTTGAAAGCGATGACAGAACTCATTCAGAGCATTTTTAATCACTGGCATCTTATCCAGCAATCTTCTTTCGAAGTTTTCAGCCTGTTAGATAATTTGTAGCAGAAGTGCTATCCCTCAGACAGCTGTTGGAAAAGGAATATTTACCTGCCTGCTTTGCAGTGATGCTTGAAATTTTGCTCCATTTAGAAGGCAGAATAGAAGGCTTGATCAGCAGGTCACTTGAGTGGCGGTGCTGTGTATTTTTTTTTCAATGTAGACTTCGCTCAAGGAAGCCACAAATTTAAGTCCGCAAGAGCCGAGCTGTTGAGTATAGGACATTTTGGAAAACACTAATTCATAGGGTTGCCATAAAGATGACTTGACAGCACAGAACATCATCAAGAGTTTCTAAAGTTGAAGGACACAGGCTAGGATCTTTATCCGTGATCACCATCAGTGGAGCATAACTGCCAGTGCAATAACATGGGATTTCTTCCTTATGCAAGCATTGCCCACGTATAAGCAGAGGCAGACTGTAAGAATACCCAACATACTATGGTGCAAGTAAATCCCAGACACCTCCTTGTACATGTGCTGTGACAGTCAAACTATTTGTGGTACGGCCATTGTACAAACAATTTAAGCAATCAGGATCTTGGCCATTGGGACTTAAACTTGTTTAGAAATGAGAGTCTGTGGCTCATTTTGAGAGCTTGCCTAGAGATGAAGTCTCCAGTTGAGGTCTCAACTCTGTCATGGCCTCTTTGCAAGTTTGCAACTTCAGACAAACTAGGATAAACCTCACTGAACTGAGCTTTAGTGGTTGCCATATCTCAACATCTTAAAAAGCAGAGACATCACCTTGCCAACAAAAGTCCGAATAGTCAAAGCTATGGTTTTTCCTGTAGTAATGTATGGAAGTGAGAGCTGGACCACAAAGAAAGCTGCCCGCCGAAGAATTGATGCTTTTGAATTGTAGTGCTGGAGGAGGCTCGTGAGAGTCCCCTGGACTGCAAGGAGAACAAACCTATCCATTCTAAAGGAAATCAAGCCTGAGTGCTTACTGGAAGGACAGATCCTGAAGCTGAGGCTCCAATACTTTGGCCATCTCATGAGAAGAGAAGACTCCCTGGAAAAGACGCTGATGTTAGGAAAGTGTGAAGGCAGGAGGAGAAGGGGACAACAGAGTATGAGATGTTTGGACAGTGTCACTGAAGCTATGAACATGAATTTGACCCAACTCTGGGAGGCAGTGGAAGACAGGAGGGCCTGGTGTGCTCTGGTCCATGGGGTCACGAAGAGTCAGACATGACTTAACGACTAAACAACAACAACAACATCTCAGGGCACTAGGTGCAATCTTGATAGCCTTCTTGAGTTCAGCAGACAGACAGATGAAAAGACAGAGACAGACAGAAAAATCTTAGGGTGAGCCATGCTGAAAAAAATTGATTTTTGCAAGCAAAGTGCCTTTAAACTCATTATCTGAGATTTAAAGCATTTTAATGTGCCTTGTGGACAAGAAGGGAGTGGACAAGAGACGGAACTGAAAGAGGTGTATATACGCACGCATTTGCACTGTTTGTTCCAGAGTGTCACTGTTGCACTCAACTAACTTCATGTTGGAGTCATGATTATTGTTTTTTAACCTACCATTCATTTGATGGCTGGTCTTTCAAAAATCTTAAACAATGTGCAGTTTAAAAATAAATGTACCTTTAAAATAATTTATGCAAGTTATCACTAGCTTTTTTCCCTCCCTCCTCACCAAGGAAGGTGGCAAGCTTATCTTTAGACTAACCTCCTGTATTTTTAAAAATATAACTTTGGCACTTTGAAATAATGTCTTGGTCCTTCTAATGGGCTTACGAAAAAAAATCAGACATGGATTTTTAGTTATGTGCACCAACCATGGAGAAGAGCATCCAGATGGGTCAGAGAGAGGACTTTTGTGCATTTCTGGATCTCCTGTACAACAGTTAAAGAACACTCCAATAGACCCTGAGCCAGTCTCTACATATTTGTAAACGCTTCTTTGGCATTTTAAGGGCAAGAAATGCTGAAATCTTGGTGTAGCAACAAGCTGTAGCAAAAGAAACAAGCACCAATAGAAAAAAAACTGATAGCTGAAACCCCAGGGAAAGCCAAAGCCTCCTCTGAAAATTTCCAATAGCAGAACCCTAAAGGGGGCTCAGACCAACACCAGTAGATTGTATATATTTATGTTCACCCACCTGGGCAGCCATTTTGCATCCAAGCATGTCAAATGGAGGGTGCTTTATTATGTACTAGATTGGCTGCATTCTAGAATTCTTTTAATTAGCTCTTCATTGCACTTTGGATCAAGTATGTGTGTGAATGTGGGATGACAGTCTGTTTTAGATAGGTCAAAAGAGCTACCCCTCACCAGTTATTGTCTACGTTTTAATTGCTACTCATAACTTCATTTATAGTAGTAACTTTTCCTTGCTGTGGGTTCCTGTGGATGTGTCCTGAGTAGATACTTGTACTTCACCTTATTTGTCTTCTACTCTTTTGCATACTGCAAAAGTGCCCCAGAAGAAATGTCTGCTTAAGTTGGCAGAAGACATACCTGCCTGCCTTCTTCTCTGTGGAATGGAACAGCCTTTCTTGTACCACTAACATAGGGCGTGATCACATATGAGAAAAGAACCCCAGATATATGGATTCATTTCATATCTCTATTGCACTGATACATTTTTCCAGCAATCATGTGGTATATATATATTGGCAGGAGCGTTCACATTGTTTTTAACTGTATTGATTAATTTCTTTTTATTTGAAACATTGTAACTGGTTACATTGCTCCATTAACTTGAATTGATTAATTTTCTCTACTGTTTCTTGGGCAATCAGGCCCACCATATCCTTTTAATTTTTTTTTACCAAAGGTAATAATATATCAAGGAAGGAGCGCCTTCTCTTCCCCTCCCCTTTTCTCTTCCCTCCTTTACTCACTTTCCCTGCATATTATTCCCTTTCATTTCTTGGATTTCAATCCTGATGTGAATTGTAAAGAAAGGAGTGTTGCAGTGTCAGGAGGAGGAAGTAGGTTTTGAAAAACTTACAAAGTATTGTGAAGAGCAGGGTTAAAAAAATTAAAGTGCTTCTTTCTTTACAGTTCAAAGCAGAATGTATCAAACCGTCTTTCACCCACAAAGGAAGAAGGGAAGGTTGTCTCCTTCTGAGCAATGTATTCATGTTGCTTTTTTGTGGTGGTAGCAGCGACAGAAGCAGCTGCTAGTAGGAATTTAGCAATATCCCTTTACATGTATTTTTTAAAGGGGTACAAGCACAGTGGCCATCAAGTGGCCTCAGCAGCTAGAAACCCAAGCATGTTGCAAAAGAAACAAATTGTTCACACAGGTTGAAACAATAAGGAATGAAATGATTCATCAGCCCTCCTGGTGAGGGGGAAATAAACCTTTGGGGCAAATGAATCAATGTTAGCCATGCATCATGTAAACAGAAAATTGTTAAATGATCTAATTAATAGCCAAATTGGTATAACTGGGATTCTTTTGGCAAGTGTGATTGAGTCATAGTCACACCAACAACTTTCCTTTCCAAGGATTGGCAAAGGGAGTATCAGGCAGACAACAATGCCCACCTGATGGAGGGTGGTGGAATTCATGGAAAGGTGGGAGCTGGGAAAATAGCAGACTTCAAAACTGTTAGTGGGGGAAGAAGGGAATCTGGTAGGATCTGTTTCTCTACCCTGAAGGTCTACTATGTTTCTTAAACTAGTGGCTCTGGCATGTAGCATCCCCTTCCCAGTTTTTAGCCCTTTGTTTTTGCCATCTACAGCACCCTTCCCAAATTGGGACCGACAATATTTGGGCACCCAAATGTGTTTTCAAGCTTCTGCTATGTCTATGCATAACTACATGTAGACACATTGATATATATATAAATGTGTTGGACAGGATCCTATTCAATTAAACCACTTGTGTAATAGACTACTGTATGACTGATTTGGTTTTTTCCTCACTCATTTAAAGAGGAACCCAGTACTATACCTTCTTTTTCAAGTGGAAGTTGAGCTGTTCCCATGGTGATTTCTGCTCATACAAGAGTAGCAGTACTCCATCTCAATATCCCCCTTCAGTATTGCCTAATAGGATTCTCTCCATAAACTGCAAACAGAATACAACAGAGTGTCAATAATTATTATGGGAGAGGAAACCAAACTGTGTATGGAACAGAGGACCATTTTGAATATAGGCAGAAAATGCAACAAATAGCTTCCTCTTTGATCATAAAACAGGGAGGAGATGTTCCCCATGATTCTGCAAAATGATACTGCACAGTTTGAGTTTCCTTGTTTAGACAAAGGGAAGAGGAACCTGTCACCCTTCAGATATTGTTGGGTTGAAACAACCGTAGCCTCTGACACATGGCTTGTCTGCTGGGGCTGACAGGAGCCTTGTGGCACAGTGGATAAACTGCAGTACTGCAGCCAAAACTCTGCTTACGACCCAGGTCCAGTCCCAGGTAGCTGACTCTGGGTTCTCTCAGCCTTCTATCCTTCTGAGGATGGTAAATGGAGTATCCAGCTTGCTGGGGGAGGGGGCACTGCTTAGCCTGCATAATTCAATTGTAAATCATCCAGATAATGTTTTAAGTGATATGGGTTGGTATGTAAGCAACATGGTTTGTTTTTTGCTTTTGACTGGAGCTACAAGATTCCTCAGCCCTGGTTCTTCTTTCATCTCCCTCATTTGTGTTTCTTTGCATTATGAAACATAATAAAATACAATGTTATCATTATAGACTTTAACAAAATGATCCATTTGAATTTCTTTAAAATGATGAGTAACAGTTATATTCCTTCTTCTCCCAAAAGGGGACTGGGAACAAACAGAACGTGGGAAGGAAACGAAGTTCATTTTAAAACAAAAGGCTTCAATTTCCACTCTTCATTTAAATAAGCAATTAAAGTCATAGATTTCCTCAGTGAATATCCAGTTGTACATAATAACAATGTTCTGCCTTCTCTGACCTCTGGTCATTAGGTAGCCAAAATGTCAGTGTCCACCTTCAAGGGGAAGAGATCTCCTGAATTGTTTCAAAAAACAAACAAGACAGAATAGGTCAGTGGGACATGCTAGGGGCAGAATGGAAAATGAAGGGGTGATGGAATTGAATACTCTGGAACAGGGCATGGCTGGCTATCTTGAATCACGCAAAGGAGTATGCCACCGTGCAGCTTTTCATTGTAGGCTCTGCTTGTATTAACCAAAAAAATTGATATTTGCTATTTTTTCATTGCATATGCAGAAAAATATAGAAAGCAACAAGTGAGAAACACATACACACACAGTCCTTGACTTAATGTATTAGATAAGGAAAAGAGGACATTGCTGTTAGAATCCCTCACCTCACTGGCCGGGCTATGAAGTGCATAAATCCCTTATCTGCTAAAAGTTTCCTTGTGCTCTTGTTACTAAAACCCAGGGGTTCCACCAAGGAAAGGAGGCAAGATATTTGAGGACATAGTTAGGAGGAAGTCTGTATGATCTTGGGAAATGTAATATAACTCCTGTTCTAAGCTGGTGTTGAGTGGGAAGCCTCCCAGCTAGGAATAGCCTTGGGAATCATCAGAATGATGTTCAAAACCCACATTGCTATGAGAAACATGTAATAGCATGGAGGGTCCTTTCTCTTCTACAAAGGCTAGGCTGTGTCTTTGACACACTTCCCAGCTAACTGATACAAAATAGTGTGGCCATGTGAACAGCTGTACCTAGTTGTGTGTGTGGAGGAATTTCAACAGGTATTGCTTTGACAATTACATGACAAGCTACATCTGCTGAAATGTAGTTCCCAACATTGCTATCAATGCTATAGGAGCACTGTTTTCTTTCTCCCTGATATTGTATTTTAAAGCCCCATGGGAGGGGGTGTTAGAAAATGGTCAATATGCACCTGTGACAATGGGGAGCAAGCTAGGCCTACCTCTTGTTTGTTGCTCCCCTATGTAGGCTCTATGCAATCTGGAATCCTGAAAAAGCAAGGAGTAAGATAGTCTTCATCCACAAAGGACTCTGTCTTCTTCAGATCCTTGCTCTTTGTTTTCCACGGGGGGTGGGAGGGATGAGGCTAGCTTGTTCTTCATGCTTTTAGACTACACTGGTCATGAACCCCTGAATAGGACCTGTCAGAGCTCCAAAGTTGTATCCCCCATGTGAGCTTTCAAGCAATAAAGTCAATTTCCCTTCTTTATTTATTACTTCTTATAATCTAATGACATTGCTAATTGAATTAATACAGTGGCTACCAAAGATGGACTGAAGCATAATTTATTTTGCTGATGTGTTCACTTTTGAGAGCACCTGCCATTCTACTAATTGCTTACTATCTATTTTTTTCTCTGTGTCCTAAGAAAAGGGAAGGAGCACCTGTAGGGTGAAGCAGGGTGTTTACTGTGGTGGCCCCAAGAATGTGGATCTGTTGATATGGGATGGCATCAGGTTATTGTTCTTTGCCTTGGTGTTCTCTTTCTCTCTCTCCCCCTTCCCCCCCCTTTTTCTTTTAGAAAATAGTGGTGTTGGGTAATGCTCAGAGTGTTATGATTGAGACTTGGAAGTTTTGATCCCAACTAAGTCACAATTTTTTCTGGATCCCTTTGGGGCTGATCATTCTCTTTCTCACAAGACCCACACCACAGAAGATTTGTCATGATAAATGGGGAGAGTCGGATATCCGTTCTTGAGTAAGCTTGTATAAAAACCTCGACAGGGCTGATCAAATCGTAAGCCAAGACTGTAGGCGTCTGCACATTTCTGAGCAAGTGTCACTGAAACTGATGAGTCTTCTTCAGAATAAGTGTTGGAGATTGAGGCTGTTGAGTTCCAGGCCTTGTGTCTATAGTTCTTTGGAGCAGGCTTATTTCTTAACTTGACCTCTATATGATTCAGTGGAGAGTAAGTAATAACGTGGTCTGCTTTTGATGGTACCCTACTTTAGGAGCATGTTTTTGTGCTGTCTAATGACAAGGCTCCAGTGTTTGGAAAAAGCCAGAATTAAATAATGGAAAATCATGATAGGAACCTGTGACTTGACTGACTTTGACTGGCTTGAGGTTCCCTGTCATTAACCATGATCTAAAAGAAAGCTTCAAAATGGACCCTATTTACTGTTTTTAATGATGGCAAACAAATCATTCAAGATGTATGAAAACTTGCTTCCTGGTTTTGTTATACTGAAAGATGCAAGTGATTGTTTTTTAAAAGCTCTTTAGGAAGTATCACTCTGAACTTTAGAAGTACAGTATATAATGCATTTCCCACCTCTGTCTTTTCAATTGTATCAAAAAGCTTGATTCCATACCCTTACCATATGTAATAGTTCAGTCCCTCATCCCATCAGAAACTCTAGAATTCTTGCTCATTATGAGCTGAGACTTGATTGCTGGTTGTTACCAGATAGAGGGGCTGTAGCACTGTGTAATAGCACACACATCAAATTAGCATTAATAGCAAAGAGCCTCTTTCACATATCACATGCTTCTCAGGAGTTGTAAAGCAAAGCAGCTGACCCAAGACAGACTTGTTCTCTTGCAAAAATTTGCTGTGGTCTCTTTATGGGAACGAAAAAGGTTATTTCTTGCAATTTCATTTGGAAGTGATTTAGACACTGGCAAGGGTAGCTGGGAGCTGCTGCATTTCAAGATACAATCAGGATCTTAATGAAATCAATTTAGCATGATTTATATCCTGTAGCACTGTGGTGTCTCAAATGACCTTGCATTCTACCGCACAAATATTTTTGCTTCTCTTTGCATGCATGCAATTTATTATGTTTCTCCTTTAAAAAAACAAGGTCCCAGCATTTCATCAGTGATAACATGGCCAAGAAAGAAAACTCATATTTTGGCTGCGCTGGTTCAAGCTGTACGCCTTGTGGTTTGGGGGATACTTGCAAGACCACCACAGCCAGGGGACAGGCTTAGACCCTACATGGTGGTACCATCTCTCCTTTTTTTGTCAAATAATGTACGAGTGTGTTGTTTTTTTTCCTGCAGAAAAAATGCTGCAATTCCTATAATTGTTCTTTTCCCTCGAGACAAATCATTGCATTTGGAGGCAGCATTTCAGAGAAGGCAAAACCTGTCCTCCCATCATGTCACTGGATGTCCTAAGAGATCTAGATGTGATGTCGTGTCTGTCTGCCATTTCAGATGTGTTGAACATCAAGTCTCCATTAACGGTGATGCTTAGGGCTGATGGGAGCTGTAGTGTATTCATATTTGGAGAGCTTCTCCAGCCCTGGTTGATTGCAAAAAGCCATGTGGCAAATTGCTTGGCAGTGGAGAAGAAGTGGGTAGGTGGGAATGTAGTTAGTTGATGTACAGATGGCATGTTTCCAACCTAAAGCACCTTCTCATAGCCAGTGTGGTGGTGACAACCTTTGAACTGTCACTGGTCATCGTGACCATCTCCATAAGCTAAGAAGAGTCCAAAAATGCAAACAGCAGTGCCAGTATTAGATGTTTATATGTGTACACACACTCATATGCTCTGGTGGGGATTTTTTGACCTCTCCTTATGGTGAGAGATGGGCAGGTGGGTGGGCCAATAGGTGCTACCCACAAGGGTGGCTGGGGTGGGACCAGAGAACCTTTGTAAGGCCAGTGTGCACCAAACCAGCTCTCATTTGCAGCAACCCACCTGCCCACCACTGGGTCCGGTGTGTGGTCACTTTGTGGCCGGATAGAAATTTTGGGCCCGTCTCACCTAACTGGCTTGAAAAGGTTGATGGATGTCATCATCTATCCCACACTGCTTTGCCCATGAAAATTGCAGGTATGTTTGGAAGTAGTGCTGTATTTAAATAGGTCACACTGGCAGGTAGTGTGGAATGAGAAGTGAGTATTGGTGAGTTCCCAGTAGGTACAAGCATGTTATTGTGCCCACTGTCACAGCAGCTAGGATACCAATATTTGCTTGCTTGGATGACTGTACATGGGGAACCAGCACTGGATGATGTCTGTCTAAGTTCAGGAGGACGAGATGGTGGGATGATGGTGAAGTTCCCTCAGTTTTAGCTGACCAAAGATGAGCTGTCCAGGGGAGAGTTCTGACCAGGGACTTGGGACTCACTTGTTTGGGGATAGGGAAGGGGTGAGAAGGGA